GGTAATCACAACTTAACGGGAAATGCAAGAAGTGCCGAGAGATTGGAAATAATATAACTGTTAAAGGAAAACATATTTCCTACACCCTGAAACAGCGCAAACAAGTGAAAAGCAATTTTAAATGGACAGTTTTGAGAGCATATATAGAGATACAAAAGAAACAGTGAAAGAGATTGAAAAAAAGCATTCTTCAGGATAGAGTTAGGAAGAAGTCAGGGTAATCCTTTGAAACTGTTCACATTAGATTTGCTTTTTGACAATGCTAGAAACAATGTCTCAGATTCAAACCTCGTAGGGTAATAGAATTTCTTCCCTAAAAGTGTTGTAATTATTTATCTTTAAAGTACTAAATCGGTATTAGCAGTACATGTATGTACAGTAGCATACACTCTTTAAAGCCCTCTGTTTACTTAGATTTACATTGCTAGAAATTGTTTCTAATTTTATTACTGCCAGCTACTTATATAGTGGGTATATATTGTAGGTAATATTTTCTTGTTTCTATTCTGATGTCTACTTTAACGCTATTTAAAAAGCAACCTACGAGGGCTGAAGATTTAAAGGATATTGACTGGGTCGTACCTGATCCAGGGTACCCCGTATCGTCTGGACCGAGGCATCGGCCCGCATTGCATCCCATGTTTTTAGTCTTTCTTTCAGCGTCTCTGTTTTAAGTGGACATTTTATATGTTAGAATGGATAGGAGGCTGTGAGATAACTGCACGTACTACACAAAATATCATAATCGTAAATATGTTTGCATATATCTCTTTTTTGCCATAGCTATGTATTTATAAGTATCTGTAAAAGTATTAAATAAAATCTATGACAATTTCATGTACGACGCATATGTAATTTTAATTCTTAACTCTTTCCTTTTGATACATTGAGAATGTGTATACTACAAGGCTTTATAAGTCTGCCATTGCCTATACATAATGTAAATTGAACGTTATCGTAATCAATGTCACTGTGTATACATTTAAATTGAAATGTATGTGATACGGATTGCATAAGGTAGAGCCTTTGTTCAATAATACCGCAGAAAAAGCTATATTGTACAACAGTGATTTAAATAACTCAAGAATGAATATCACTGCTAATGATAGATTAAACTAATTTTTTGCCTTCAATCCCAAATATGAATACCTATGATAATTGCATGGACCTGTATGTTTTATATATATATATATATACTTTTTTTTATTATTTTATTTACACCAAGAAAACTATACCTTATGCCATAGAACAAAATGAAAATGGTTTCAAAGAACATGCATGAACATATAAAATCAATATTTTTTTTCTTGTATGAAACATGCACTATTAAGAATTGTGTGAACCCATTAAAAATTATTTTTGGGAAGCATAAATTAAATGCAGTAGGCAGAACATTCACATGGTATAAAGATAAGATGCTGTATGGGATCTTATAATTATTTAATAGCAGTCAACGAACAATCGCATACATAAATAAGTATATGTATATTAAAAAAGAAATATAAAATGTTGTAACATATGCTGACATTTAAATTTTAGAGCATGGAGAGCTTCGATCTGTCAATGTTCTCTGTATAAAATTAATACAGCTTCAAATATATTTGTAATAGTATTGGGTATTCGATACTCATATTTTTACAAATAATGGTTGTTAATGTACAAAGGGAACGGAGTGATTACTTCTAGCTGAGAAACATCTGACGCAAGCACAAAAGTTCTTCTCTCGTGAATCGTTTAGACAGATTATCATTCTGTGTGGTCAAAGATAAAAGCGCTTAGTAAAATTTTGCCCAGAAGCAAGGATCTTAGCGTAAAGTAGTATCTAATATGCGAAAGCAATGCAAATGAACAGAAGACTGTACGTGTCGATTAAGTGAGACGGGTTATGTATTGTTAACATTACGGCAACACAACATATTCAATCATTGGGCTATCATGTGACCGTTCACTCCGTAAAGTGTATGCTGCACAAAGGGATGCAACAATCGACTGAATGTTTCTATAAATTGAAACCCAATTGAAACATTTCCATCGCTATCTGTCGAATACGACAATTATTTAAAACGGTACAAAAATCATTTGAAAAGTACAGTCGAAATGCATGAAAGATCGTTCATGAGAAATCGACGTGCGTTCGTTTGGCATCTCGATTACGGAACGAAGCGGAAATTCCGATGAAATCATCCCGAAAATGGAGAAACGTAAGCGTGAACGACAGAGGAGCGGATAGAAGCACTCTTTGAAACGGAGAGACAGTAACGCGAACTCCCATTGTGTCAAAGAACGTACCGACCTTTTGTTTATCGGAGATACGAGTTGTCAGTTAACAGGGTGGAAATTGACGACGGCAACGATGACGACGCCGTGACACAGAGGAATGTCAAGACGGAGTCGCGACACAGTTCTTTACTCGAGTTCTCACAGGAGAGGACTCGTAGAGCTTTTTGCCGAATTTTGCACAGCCGGAAGTGCATTGCCGCGTAACGGGGTAAGAGGGCGGGGAAGGGAAGGAAGGGTGGTGGGCGTGAGGGGGGACGGGCAGACGGAGCCGCGAGGGGGAGGTCTCAGGGCGTTAGGGGTGCGACAGGATAGCGACGCAGGGGTCTAGTGCCTGGAGGACGATTTACTTACTGATCTGAAAGCCAGCTCAAGTATCGAAATGCTGTGATACGAGCGTTTTCCAAATCACCGATCGAATTCAGGCCCGAGCGGACAGCGCGTGGCTTCTATGCTAACTGAAACGGTGGTCGTGCGAAGATGCCGTGGATTCGTAACGCATGGCACTCCCTCGGCC